AGACCAACCTTTGGCTATGCTGAAGGCCAAAAGAAAAAAATGCCATGATAAGGGATGTGACCACAACTTTAGGTTAGGAGAGGTAAAATTAAATTTTTTTTTTCTAAATTATTTATCAATTTTAATTTTAATTTTTAAATCAGTTTAAATCAAGTCACTAATTAATTTTGTGCATGTATCACTTTATTAAATTTTAAATTAATAAGATATTAAAATATTTTTGAATATCAAATAATTTAATATCTTTAAATAAATACTATAAAAATGTATTATATTTTTTTATATAAGGTTACATATGTCACATCAATTTTAAATTTGGAACATATAATTTACATGAATAAAATAAAATTTAACCATTAGTTTAATAGAATATAAATTGTATAAAAAAATTATATACAACTAATGTAAAAACATATATAATAAGTTACATTAATATAAATAGATCTAAAGTAATTTTTTATATTTATTTTTTTCCATATAAAATTATCATATTTTTATAAAAATTAGTCACAAAAAGAAAAATGATCCTTTTATGAAGTAAATTCTAAGTATTTTATTTATATTGGAACTACCCCTATAAATAATTTAAACTTTCAAAACAAAATTTTTGTTAAAAAAATATGTATTATATTTGACATTTTTCAAAAGTATTACATGATAGAATCTCAACAAAAGACAACTTGTTGAAGAGTTTGCAATATTGTAAAATAATGACCTAAAATAGTGTCTTCTTTTAAAAATATCATTTTTAATCATTTTAGTGTTTTTTTATCAACCAAAAAAAATAAATTAATAAAAAGTGTAAGAAGTACTCCGATCTAGAAGGCACTATTTTTGGTCATTGTATTACAATATTTCACTAATTTATTTTCCATATCCATTGACGTTTTGCTCTTCTTTACCTCTGTGAACATTTTTCCTCATTTTTTGGGTTAGGGATTACCTACCTGGATTAGAGCCATCCCAAACAAGTTTGCTTTTCAGCTTTTGCAATTTTACAAAACGATCCTCGGCCACTTGATTTGGGTTTACCCTGGGCTGAGACTTGGGCTAGGCCTTTCTTGGGCATGTCTGTTTTGGGTCTGTTTTTTGAACTCATTTAATGAAAAAAATTATTAAAAAAAACAAATATAGAAAATTTCATTGAGAAATATCCTGTTAACTATGATTCTTTGCATTCTAGTCCTTTTAAAGATCTTTTTGCTTTTTGCTCTATCTCTTTTGTCTTTGAGATTGCTTGAGTTGATCGGTGGTTGATGGATTACTCTCTCTCTCTCTCTCTCCCTCTCTTTCCCCATTCTACCCTTGGTAGAGTGTACCTGGTTTATACTTTTTCCTTAAACATAATCTCACTCTTGCACCTAAGGCAAGCTTATAGAATAATTAGTTAAATTATTGGCAAAAAGATACTTCTTCACTTATATGGCCAAGATTCAAACCTTCATTCCCATTTACTACTTCTTTTCTTTATGAGGGTTTTAATCAATTGTCTTGCTTATCAAAAACAAAAATCCCACTCTTACAACTTTTGCTTTCAATTTTTTTTTTTTTAATGCATGACATGCTGTTACACATCATTCAAAAATTGTCATTTGGATTGAGTTAATTGCCATGCCATACTTAACTAGTGAAGGGACCAAAAAATGTATTTTTTTAAGTTAAGGAATTGAAAAGCATATAAAATAATTTAAAAATTAAAATAATTCAAAATTAAAAGTTTGAGAACTAAATTAAATATTTAACCAAAAAAATAAAAAGGTGTGGTCCGGATTGTAACATCATAACAATAAAAAAGGGTAGCGTCCTGATATTGAGTCCTACCCTCCCCTTTTTTATGATCTTGATGTTACAGTGCGGACTATAACACAAGAATCTCTTAACCAAAAGTGAAAAAAGGAGGGAAAACAACCCACGTGGGGACTACTGAACAATTAAAGTGGTGGTACTCTATGTAATTCCCATACTATTTTTCTATCGGATCTAATATGTGACTTTATATATAGCTTAAAAATGTTTTAATTATTTTTTTATTAATTTATTTAAAAAAATATAAAAATTAACTTAATTTTTAACATTAATAATACATGTATAATTTGAATTACATTATTAATAAAATTGAAAATAATTTTTATTTTTTATAATAATAAAAAAAATTTCTTTCTGTTAAAAAATAACTACATATTGTTACTTGTTAACTCTTTTTAAAAAAAAAAAAAATTAAAGATCTAGAGAATAATTATGTATTTACACATATTACTCTTGAAATGAGATAAAAGATAAAGATAAACTTTTTGTGGTAGGATGATCAATTAAAATAAATAAATAATAATAAGACTAAATGAGAAAAATTATTTATTTACCTTAAAAAAATTTTAAAATTAACAATTAATTTATAACAAATTCATAATAAAAAATAAAAAATTATTTTAAAATAAAAAATACCATTAATATACTCTTAACCTATACTTAAAAACACAAAATAAAATATCTTTTATTATATTATATATAAGAGTAAATATATCTTTCACTTTTACATATTTATATATATTATAAACACTGTAAACCTACCATACTAAGCATCATTCTTGATTTCTTGGCTTGACTATGGTGAAGGCCGAAAAGTAAAAATGCCAAGGCGATCCTTGGTGGATTTATGTTATTGAGCTTGTTTGATATAATTGAAGCTCTTGAGGCAAGTTTTATATGAGAGAATCCATTTTAATGCAACAAATGTTTTAACCTATTGTTTTAATTTTAAATTAAAGTTTTTAAATTAATGTGTATTAACATAATCAAATTTTTATTATATAATATTTTGTTACACATCATGCAAAATAAATGCCTATTGAACTGAGTTAACTCTTATGTTATTACTTAACTAATGAAATGATAAAAAAAAACAAGTATCTTTAAAATTAAGAGACTAAAAAATTAAATAAAATACTTAAGAGACAAAAATTACTTGAAATTGGATGTTCATGAACTTAATTTAACATTTAACCAGAAGTGAAAGTGGATGGAAAACTACTTAGCAGAAACCGTCGGAATTAATTAAGGGGGGTGATAGTCTATAAAATTACCTTTCCATTTTTATTTTGGGGTTTATCCGACATGTAATTTTAGGTATAAGTTATGAATGTATTAATTATATTTTTATTAATTTATATAAAAAATATAAAAATTAACTTTATTTTTAATACTAATAACACATACATAATTTAAATTAGGCTCTTAATAAAATTAAATCAAATTTTACCTTGTGCCATATATTTTTAAGGTATATATTAAGAGTATATTAATTAAATTGTTCATTATATTCTTAAAATAAATTTTAAGAACACAAAATAAAATATTTTGTTAATTTTATATTATATTTTTAAGGTATATATTAAGAGTATATTTAAATGTGTAAATAAGGATGTAAATTTTATATTTTTTATTTAAAAATGTTAATTTTGTTGATTTTTTAATAAAAATATTAATTTTAAATTTTTTACTTAAGAATGCCAAGTTTGTTTAAAAAGCATGTTTATCATGTTAATATTAT